ACTTGGCCAAGTTATTTATTATACTAGTTAGAATTGGATAATTTTTGAATATATTTGCTCTTATTGTATAAAATTTTGTATTAGACTTAGAATTCTATTGTTTAAACAAAAGGGGGACATGCTGTAGGAAGTCTGTAAGTCAGTGGTTACCTGCCCACTGGGGTGTGGCCTCTTATCCTATATAAGCTGATGTAGAGCATGTGTCAGCTCTCTTTTTAGTTCCCTCTGTTCTGACTGTGGGATTCGCTTTCTGATCACCGTTCAAGCAGAGGATTCTGATTTGTGAGTCTACCCCTAAATAAATAACCATCTATTTCTCAATTATGAGCTACTGTGGGATTTCTTTTTAGTATCCTTCTTCACGAGTGATAACAGAATACACTGGAACTGATAATTTAGAGGCCTGGGTCTCTTCTTTGTTTAGAGCAGCAAGTCTATCTCCAAACTAGGCTCATAGAACCTGCAGCATGTGGTATATGTGATATCTGACCAAAAGTCATCATCTTATCCCTGACTTTTTATGTAGATTGCCTGGTTATATGGTAACCTCTATGCTTGCTGTGAGAAAAGTAGTGGTGCACTGATTTCTACAATCCATGTCCTATTCATAATTTTACTGAAGATAAAATTTTAAGCCATTTACTAAACATCTAAAAATGTGCCATAACATGCTAGTCTTTCCCTCTAGAATTTCCTGATAATTTAATTCCATTCTTAATACCTTTCTTCAATATGGAGTTCACCAGATGTCCAGATGTGTGTTAGTCACTCCCTTAGATCTATCTATCTATCGATCAATCTTTCTTTCTTTCTTTCTTTCTTTCTTTCTTTCTTTCTTTCTCTCTCCCTGTTTGTGTGTTTGTGAAAAGTCTTATCTGATTTTTTATGGGGTAACAGAATTCTAGTACTGCCACCTGCTAGGGCTGTGGAATTGTTTGTTTTAAAGGTATATATGACGAGGAACATTTCTAATGGAAAGGACAAGGAAGAACAATGTAGAACTAAGAACAATGTATAACAAGAGTGAACAAGGAAGAATAAAGATTGAGAATTGAGAGAAGAATAAAGAAACATGGACAGAGAATTCATGATGTGAATAGATGTCTTTATCACTAAATCCTTAGCCCTCCTTTAGTTATTTGGGGTGTCTTTAATTGAACCATGTAGGGAGTCTTAAATGCTAAAACTTTTACGTCTCTCATTAGTAAAGCATTATACAATCTATTTCTGGGGTATTTTCATCACTTTTTGCTTGTTTAACATATCCTTTATACTTTGATTTGTTCTTTCTATAACTGTCTGATCTGTATAATTGTGTGGTATACCAGTAATATGCTTTATATTATAATAACAAAAACCACTTAATTTTCTTAAGACATGTGCTGGACTGTTGACTGTCTTTATTTGTTTAGGTATACCCATGATGACCATCACATCTAGTAAATGTGTGATTACCGAATTTGCCTTTTCTGAACTCAAAGCAGTTTCCCATTGAAAACCTGAAGAAGGTTCAGGGGCATGATGTATATATTTTAATTTTCCAAATTATACAGTCACATCCATCTGGCAGATGTTATTACTGTGAGTTCCCTTTGGGTTACTTCCTGTAGGTGGTGATTTTTGGTTATAGAAAAAAGCAAGTAGAACATCTCTGTAGCTTGTTGCCATGTCATCGAAAACTCCTTCTTAAACATTTGCAATTGACATCGTACTGTTTGTGAAATGTTGAGGCCTTCAGCACATTTCCAATCAATAATTGATCAATTTCTGCATTACCTTGTGCTGGAAGATCTAGCAGACCCATATGAGAGGAGTTGTGTGTTATATATTTTAGAAAAAGCCTATTCCTATTATATATTCCTATAATATATTCAATTATATAGTGAACCTGAGTAAATAATAAAGTCAATTCTGTGTCATCAGGTACAAATTCAGTGATTTAAATATTCAAAACAATTCTTTCTACATATTACAAATCAGAAACTATTTTGAGAGGTTATTTAAAATCACTAGTATTATGAGAATAGCATATAATTTGACATTCTGACAAAAGTATAAGGGCTTTGTTCCACTTTACTTAAATGTTCTGGTTTGTAATCTCCCTTTACCTATTTAATTGTATTAATATAAAATGTAGGCCTCCATTGTGTCAAGTACAATGTGGCAAAGTATCCAATTAACTTTCTTTATAAAGTTAATTCTATTGCTTTTGGGATTGTTGCTACTCATAACTCCATAAAATATTAACACAAGTTCTTTACCAGGGTTCGTTGCCTTTCTATGAATTTTTAATTCCATCATTGGTTAAAGCTTTCAGCTTTTCTCCCCTTAAAGGCCATTATTTAACCCATATTGGTTCTGTAAGTAAAAACAAATAAGCCATGTAAAGATGAAGTATACACATAGCATATGGATTATGTATATTATTGTGTTTTCTTTCAATTTTTTGACTTTGAAAAAGCTAAGTATCCAACATATATACTTTAAAGGTATTTTGTCTTCAAAATTTGGTTCTAAGGATATATCGTTTTGGAAAAGATGTTCTTCTTTTGTTTCCAGGAGTATGAGAACCTGTAGAATCTTTCTAGACTAAAGTGATTTGATGGACAAAGACTCCCCCTGAATGTCACTGTGTATACCCCCAAAAGACTACTTTCCAGAAAAAAAAGCAAGAAGCAGTTCAGAGAGAACTCTGCCCACATTCCCCAAACGATTTTTTACAAATATTTGTTTACATTTAAAGTGGAATATGCTATAGAGATTTGCATTGGTAAGGATCTTTGTCTATGGATACAAATTTAAGGTCAATTTTTTTATATGTCTATTTCTTCTTTTGATTAAGGTATTGTGACTGTGCAGCTCAGTTAAAAATATGATGTATAATTAAGAAATATAGGTAAATAGAGATTCATCTATAATAGTTAATAAGTTTGTTAGTTTGTCATGTTAGTTCAGTTTTCTAGATGTACAGAGATGTATTTCAGATAGTTAGGAATTCTTCAAATCTTTCAAAGACTACAGAATATGGCAATTAAAATGTTTTATAAACTTTCAATTTTTCATGACAATGAGACACATCTGCTTCTGGCAGCACCAATTACTTCAAGAAGAAGATAGGCATTGAAGAGGCTCCTCATGAAGTTTGTTAGCCATTTGGGCAAGAAACTGCTCTTGCCTGAACTGCTTGAGGCTATGCTATATGAAATGGAGCAGGACCCTCAGAGAAATGACTACTGAACTTACATAAAGATGAGACAGTCTTTTAGAGTTCCTTCTTCATGAAAGAGACTGACAGACATTCTGCAGGACACAGAGGAAAGTGACTGACAAACTGCCAATATAGGTGGAACTATCTTAGAAATTTCCTGATTCATGGAAAAATCTGCCCTGTAGCCTGAAGATGGAATCCCCAATGGTACAGAAGAACTTTGGGTGACTGAACAGGCAAGGAGATGTCTCTGTCATTTCTAGAGTTTTAGTACTTGCTTACAGTGCAGTTCCTGTTTAGTTAGGTAATGTTATATTGTTCAGGAGTCTTTGATGTAGTTGAAGAGTCTAGAGCAGTAATAAAACTCCTTAGTTATGATGAAAGATAATTTTTAACAGAAGGGAATTTGCTGTCTTTGTTCCCAGTTCTCACACCACAGACACAGAGTCTTCAGTGAAAGGGACAAATGTAACAGACAGTGAGAACGACTGCAACTTCTTTTTATTTGACTCTTTTCAGAGCTGTGTAATAGTTTTTGTTATACTGAGTAAGATTTTTTGGAAGTTGTTTGTAGATGTTTATGCCTGTGTATTGTTCACTGACTTGGTTAAAAATTGATTTTATAAAACAATATCACAAAACATTTATGTGAGCTATAACAAAAAGCTGTGCAAAATTTTATCAGATCATTCTGAACAGTCCACAAAAAAAAAAGCTTAGGAAAAGCATACTTCTAGAGCTGTCTGTTCAATATTTTCTGACCATGGTTGAAGACATTAACTGAAACCAAGAGTCATGGGGGTGGAGTTCTGTGCATTCTTCCAAGCAAGCACTCTTCATTGTCCTCACTTCTCTCAGGTGCATCAGCTTCCTTGAGCATTCTTATTTGAGCTTTCTTGGTTTTGTTCAATGCCCTAGATAGTTCACCTTGGGGAACATATGTCTTCCGCATCTCTATCTAAAAGGTTGCTAAATGACATCTTCCGAGGGATGCAGAGCCTGGCCTCCTGTACACACCACACCCTGTGCAATTCAATCAATGCATCTTCCCGATAGACCCTAAATTCCCAGAGAAGAGGAATTTCCAGTATGTTTCCTATAGAGACTTTCCCACAATACTTTGCTCACAGTGATCAGTAAGTATAATCAAAAATGTGAATGTATCAGAGACCAGCTTTGACAATAATACCACTTACAAAGGTAGGGACATGGGAACTAGAAAGTGAGAAATGGGTAAGAAGACATGAGTGAAAATAATAAAACAGAAAACATTAAGATAGTGTATGGAGGGAGTTCCAGTGAATACTGAAATCATTCACATTTATTTTTTCTACATTTTTATATCCAAAAACAACAGGGGTAAGAAGACAAAAGGCTTCTTTAACATGATAAAGAAAGATTAGAGTAGTTATTTGCTTCACATCTTTGAGCCATCAAGTCAGTAATCCAATAAGCATTCTGTAGTTTATACAGTGAATCTACCCTAGACCAAGTATCCTGAAGGTAGTGACTCCCAAGGTCAAATCTCCTGTTTCAAAAGAAAAAGCAGAAGTATGCTTGAATTTTCTGAGCATTGGTCAGGAGAGAGTGGATCTACTTTTATAGGATATCTAAATGTCAATAGGACCAAGTAGTCACACCCTAGGTCAGGGTGTATCACAACAGTTTTTGGCAACAACTTTGAACAAGCTGAAACTTTCTGACCCTCAGCCAGGTAGAAATAGGCTCACATATTTGGACCTCCACATCAATGTGATAGAATGTTGCAGAATCTGGAGACTGAGTCACATACCTGACAAAGCAACAGAAAGTGCAATTACAGCTACAGTTAGGACCATGATCACTGCATAGCAGCAGTAAAGTTTAACAGGAGGCTCAGGGGAGATGATTCTGAGATATTTTCCTTGCTGTTTTTTACCTGAAAAGATAAATATCACAATATCAACCTCAAGAACTTTTTTAGAAAAACAATTACCCAGAATCAACTGTAGAGTTCACTTGTACTCTACTCATGCAGATGCCCTTCACAGAATTTCCTGGTCCATAAATGAAGTCCTTGACTTGAAAAATACTATTGGAAAGGAAACATTACTTTTTGCCACCGTTTTCTATTTATTGAATTAGGGAACAAAAAAAGAGTAAGAAACAGAAACAGTAAATATCATGGTGAAAAGGGAATAGCAACAACAAACCACCCATAGATTTAATGCTATAAGAAGAGATCTGGTAATGATGAATGGGTTTGTATTAATAATAATAAAAAGAAAGTCAGTGTGTAAGGTGGGGTGACACAGGACTATTGTTCTGGCACATGGAAGGTGGATGCAGGAGAGTCAGGAGTTCAACATTATTCTTGACTAAATTTTAAGTTTCAAACTTAGATGAACTACAATAGTCCCCATTTTATCTATCTGTCTGACTTTCTGTCTGTTATCATCTATCTATCTAATTATCTATCTATCTATCTATCTATTGTCCTACCTATCTATTATCTATTTATCTATAATGAAATAACTAAGTATGTTTGGACATATAAACAGTATAAGAATATAAAGAAGGAGCATTTCAGTAAATCCAGCAAAGCATGCACACAAGCTACTGTAAATTCACAGTAAGAACTCTCAACAAATTAGTAACTGAATGGATTTTCTCAACCTAACAGGCACTATCCAGGATAAATCAAAAGAAAATTCCAACTAAAGTCAGCATGAATGTTCTTCCCCAGTGTCCCAGAGCAAGGCAAGGATGTCTGCTAACCATATAGCATGACTCTTGGGTTCCTATTCAAACCATAAGGACAAGAAAATGAAATAACTGGCATGCCCTTCAAAGAGAGATGAAAGTGTTGCTATCAGACAACAATAATGTATCTACATACAAAGTTCTGAGGAGTCTTATAGAAGAGCCCTAAATGGAATGAATGAGTTAACAATGCAGCAGGACATAATGTCATTGCTTAAGATATTTTGCATTTTCATACAAGAGCAATTGTCAAAAGCAAACAAATATATAAGTATTGCAACTCTCACAGCACTGTTAAATACAACTGGACATTTAATGAAACATGCTCACATTCAGTTGCTGGAGGAACATGAAGGGTTTTTAACCCCTGAGCCAATTCTCTACTCCTTTCATTGAGTTCTTAAATATTTGAATACATTGTAGGTACAATTTCTTTTGAGAGAAAGAAAAAAAATTTTAAAAAATCAATAATAAAGAATAAAACCCCTGCCACTATATTTTTTATCGTTTGAGTCATTTTTCAGGGACCAAAGCAGAGGAATTTCATTATACTAAATCTAATTTATTTTTCTGTGTGTAGGTAAAGAATCTCTACCTGAAAAAAGTTCACAGAGAAGTTTTTCATTTTTTCTCTTCAAATGGATTTGAAGTTTTGCATGTCATATTTGCATCTGTTGTCCATCTTGAGTCATTTACTATACAATGAATGAGTCATGAGTCATCACCATGGGAACCAACTCTCTTAGCATCATATGCAGAAGAGATACCATCCTTTCTTTACATAAGAAACTTACAAACTGAGACTATTCTTTTTTTGTTTCCTGACTGTCCAGACTCAAATAATCACACAGAAACTGCATTAATTACAATACTCTTTGGTCCATGGCTCAAACATATTCTTAGTTAGCTCTTAGATAGTAAATTAACCCATTTCTATTAATCTATGAATCACCTGTTTCTGGCATCCTTCTCTGTTGGCAGCTACTTGGCATCTGTCGGACTCCACTTCCTTTCCTCCTCTATTTCTGCTTGAATTTCTTGACTTTCTATATTCTAGACTGTCATGGGTCAAAGCACATTCTTTATTAATCAATAGTAATAAAACATTCATATAATACAGAGGGGAATCCCACAACAGATTTCATGTTTGCATCTTTATCCATTTTGAGTCATTTATTGTACAATGGATGAGATATGAATCATCACTATTGGAAGCAACGGTCTTAGCATCATATGGTGAAGAGATCCCTTCTATACCTAAGAAACTGTTCACTTGTTCAGTTTACCATTCACAGACACATACATTATAAACCCACATTGATTTTTAAAAATAGAAATATACAAAAAAGGCAATGAAATGACACACAGTAAATACATCCTTTAAAAATGCTCAGTATCACCATTGTTTGGGGGAGACATAATTTAGTATTTTGCCAAGATTAGAATATATTTACCTCATAACCTAGGTCTAAGGGAAATGCCTGTGTTTACATGAAGAAGCCTGTCTGCATTCTAGAAACCTTATAAATTTAGTGTGTTTGTAACAACTGAAATATCCCTGAGATTGTAACAAAATAAAACAATATTACTCAAACTGGGGAAAATGATTGAAAGGAAAAAATGATCCTCATGCTTACATTCGCCCATTTCTTGTGCTAGCTAAGTGTTTCTCACGTTTCTGTCCCCAGGGATCCTTAAGCAAAAACTTGTGGCCCACTTAAGCAACCCTTAAGTAGCTGGCAACAAAAACAGTCATCCACAGGCCAGCAAGGAGGCTTAGTGGATAAAAGTGTATTATATTCAAGCCTGATATCCTGGATTTAATCCATGAAACATGCAGAAAAGCAGGAGATAACCAAATACAGGTAGCTGTTTTCTTGATTTTAGGTGTGAATCAAGCAAAGTTAAGGTGTGAACCCCACCACCACCACCACCACCATCACCACCAAATCCGAAACAGCAACAAAATCCCAACCAGCCCATTTGTAGTTTACTTGGGGAATCTGACCAGAGGTCACTGGTTTTCTGCTGAGAAATTCCGACTACCTTCTCTCTTTTCTATCATTCTTACCCACGAGTTTCTTGTCGGGTTTTCATGACCTGTTTGAAAATCTGTTTTTGTATTCAGTTTTGAAATACATACTCTGAATTTACAGTTCATGCCTCAATCAATCATGTTCTGAAATTTCTTCTACTATAGCTACTGTATTCATAGCTGACACACTATGCTGTCATAGTGGAGAATGCACTGTGGATGAATCTCAAATGCATGATTCCTGCAGGGGCTCAGCTACATGACAGTGTTGAAAAGCAAGTGTGTAAGCTCTGAAAAAGTGAAGATGCCTTAGGCTGGGTACAGAGGAAAGGAGTGTCTACAGAAGGGCATGGGGTAATGGGGTGGAGTCTGAGTCTACAAGGTGACTATGATGGAGACTTCATAGTTGCATACGTTCTAAAAATTCATGAACATATACATGAATGCAATGGTACAGTTAGGAGATGGCTTTTATTGTAGACATAAAGAAGAGTATAGTCAGAGGCCTCTGGAAGTGTCCAGAGCAGCAAGAGAAAGAAGTAGACTAACATGAACAGCACCCTGAACTGGACCATGAGAGGAGAGACAAAAGGGGAAGCCAGAGATGAAGACAACAGGGGTGGGGAGGTCAGACCAAGAGTGGGAAGATAAAAGTGAAGAGCAAATGTGGGACAATATTATACAGGCCACATATTTCTGCATTGTATTAGCTACCACACTGCCAAGCCACAATAGCAACTGAGGTGTTAAAATCACATACAGACTGGCTGTCTCCTGGGGTCAGATATGCTTTTGTTGTGCTGCTCCCTTCTTTGTAATCATGAGGACTGTCTGGGTAGAGGTGTTAATCCAAGCTAGTGACAGAGCTGTGGACAGGACCTTAGTCCTGCTACCCTGGAAACAGGATGCTAATGAGCTTCCCCCTCAGTTTACCTTGAGAGATACAAGCTGTTTGGAGAAAAACTTGGGTAATCTTCAGGATTTGAATGAACCCTGAGACTCCCTTCCAATATTGTTGTGTGAATTGTGTCTCAATTATTCCCGCACCTCCATGCTGGTCCACAATAATAGTTTATGTTGGGGATGGACCCCGACAAGCAAGAGAAGGAGTAAGAGAGAGGGATAAGAGAAAGCATGCCAGGACCACAGAACACCAAGACTGGGAGAAGAAGTCCAAGATTTGGAGAAGTTTAGGGTAAGGAGCAGATTGAAAAGAGCTGAGAGGGGCCACAGGCACTGAGTAAGCCTGGAGGCCAGCATGTGCTCTGGTGTGCAGAAAGTCACTACAAGGTGTCTTTGGTTGTTTTCTACTTGACAACTACTTTTACTGTTTTCTTTCCTTACTTTTTGTTTTACTTTGTTTCTGTTTCTGTTTTGACTTTTTAAATTATAACAAAGAAGTTTATTATGGAAAATATCAAAGCACATAAGCCGGGCGGTGGTGGCGCACACCTTTAATCCCAGCACTCGGGAGGCAGAGGCAGGCGAATCCCTGTGAGTTCGAGGCCAGCCTGGTCTACAAGAGCTAGTTCCAGGACAGGCACCAAAAACTACAGTGAAACCCTGTCTCGAAAAATAAAAAAAAAATATCAAAGCACATAAAAAATAGTAATAAATATAGCAATAAAAATATGCAGCCTGTGTTATCTTATCTCAAAGAACTGTGGTGTGTATGTTTGGGGGGGTCTCTAAGGATGATGAAAATATTATCATTTATGGGAATACTTGACCTAGCTGAAAAGGAACTACATTTTTATGAATTTGCTTTTGATGACAAGTATGAATGCTGCTTTCTTGAAATTCTAATAATCTCTCACTAAAACACACAAGCAAACAAAGAAAAATTAAAGCAATGGAAAAGAGAAGAAAGAAGTAAATATAGGAATGAAGTCAACAGTTTCCAAAACAGAAGACAGTTTCTTCCCTAAAGACTAAAACAGAAATCCCACAGGATTCTTCATTTTCATAATTTTATGCAAAATGAAAATGCCAGGCAATTTGCTGGTGTGTGTGTGTGTGTGTGTGTGTGTGTGTGTGATTTTCTGTGGGTGAGCACTCAACCAACCACAGTACCTCTCCCCTCCCCACCTTTCCATTGAATCACTCTGAATCTGAAAACCCCAGGCCCTAGCCCCACAGGGAACTTCATCTACTGTGAACATTGTTCCTTCTGGGATATAAGGAATATGGTTTACATCAATTTCCTGTAACTCAACAGAGTGCAAATTATGAGATCAATAGGGGACTAGAAAGCCACACACACACACACACAGACACACCAAAATCAAGAACAAAACAAACAAATAAGAAATGAAAAAGCAAACAACAACAACCAATCCAATCCCCAAAAAACCAAACAGAAACTAAGCCTCAGACTTTTAAAATTAATTCATCATTCCTTTTTGTCTTTCCTCTTTGAATATATATATATATATATATATATATATATATATATATATATATATA